TTTTTATTCTTATCCACCTCCTTCATCCAAGCTGCATTCTTGTTGTATTTCTTTGGGTTGTCCCATAGCTGCGACTAGAACTGCACTGTTTCTTCTTTGTCAGGTTCTGGTTCATTGCAGTCTCTCCATTGATGGACTGGTAGAAACATTTCTGATTCAACTGAAATTGGAGATTCTGCCTATGGTGTGCAATTCAAGCTTCATATCTGCTGATTTTTTTGGCTATGGCTGTTATTTGCTGCTTTTTTATTTCCAATGCTTCTTTGATCTTCCTTGTTTCTAGGTGATATTTCTTGATCAGGTATTCTTTAGTCTTCTTGTTCTTCAGCTTCTCTTCTTTCATCTGTTCTAGCTTGCTTGCATCTGATCTTAGCATGCTTATCTTATTTTCCAATCTGATCTTCCATTTTGGTGGTGCACTGTTTGGTTTTTTTCTTGTTGGTTGATTTTGCATCCAAGGTATTCAGTTATAACTGCAACTGTGCTGTACATTAGTTGGTTTGTTTCTTGCACTGAGCTGGTGCTTATATTTGATATTACAGTATTGGCATCTTTTAATACTTGTGCCAGCTGTTTCTCTGTAACAAGCTTCAATGCAGGCAACTTTATTCTTCGTATATTTGCAGCGGGTAAACAACTTTTCTTCCAGTAGTCATACAGCTACTGGCCTGGTTGCTCAGCCAACAGTCCTGAGTCCTGTAGCCCACTTGTCATCAGATGTCCAGTAACTAGAACACCTAACATGGTCCTTGTTGACCCAGGCAATGACCAATCCAGTATAGGTTTCTGTAAAATTATGTCTCACCAGATTGTTTATGGGAGAAACACTTTTTGTCTGGCTCCTCTGATGAGACCTGTCCAGTATGGTTGAATTTCTGGCATAGCTCTCATCTTCCTCGGAACATGCAAGCCCCACAACCACTTCAAGGTAATGCCTCATTGGGGGTATTATTATTATGGACCAGGGAGGTCCATAGAGGCACCTGCTGCATAGCACTAAGTACTATAGTACATATATGAGAGTTAATAACTTTTACCCTTCTCTCCCCAGACATTATTTTTCTCTCATCCAATAATTGATCAAGACTAAACCACAGATTTTAGATGCCAGAAAAGCAAGTGTTGGAATTGGCAACCAAGGGATCATGGAATTATTTATTGAGAAACCACCATAGATATTTGAAGATACTTTATTAAAGTTTGATCCACCCAATACTTAAACACTTACTAGGGAGAATATACTAGGATTTGAACCTGTAGTTTACGATAATATTTTCTAACATTCTGATTGTGTTGAGACTCCAGTTCCCACTGCTCCCAGCCAGTATGGCCATAGTGGCTCAGTATTCTGAAGGTTGTAGTCACAACACATTTGGACAGCACCAGGTTAGGGCATTTTCAAGCTATAGCTTAACAGACCACTCTTTAAAATATGTAAGCAAAAGTTTTTGATTTCCTCCTAATGTGTGAAAGAGGAAAAGGAAAACAGATGAGTAAGTCCATGTTGTGGAAAACTTACTACATGTGAAACAGGTCTATGCATGATTGATGGAACAGGGCTGATTCCAAAGTTGGGTTCAGTCATCAAACCAAGCCAGCACAGTGGTTGTACTGAGTGTTACTGGTAGACGTGATTACCTCAGCTGTGAATTTTATGCATTTTTACCATTTCTTTTACATGCTTTTGAATTGTTTTTTACTGTTTTTAAACTTATTACACCATTGGCTGTTTTATAATGTTTGAACTGTTTGTAAGCCACCCAGAGTCATATATATGAAAATGGGTGGCTGTATAAATTGAAATAATAAATAAATAGATAAGCCATGATTTTCTTAATTGCTACCTCAGCTGTGAATTTTATGCATTTTTACCATTTCTTTTACATGCTTTTGAATTGTTTTTTACTGTTTTTAAACTATTGTATAGTTTGGCTGTTTTATAATGTTTGAACTGTTTGTAAGCCACCCAGAGTCATATATATGAAAATGGGTGGCTGTATAAATTGAAATAATAAATAAATAGATAAGCCATGATTTTCTTAATTGCTTCTTATTAAATAAACCAGAATTGACTGAGTTCACACAACACTGTGTGAAAACTATTATTCTCAGCTTTCTTTGTAATCAGAAAATTATATTGTTTCATTCTTGATGCTTCTGAACTATGATAGGTGAAAATATATTAAAATAAACTGGGGATTGTTTTGCTTCATTAAGCAGATTGTACTACTTTATTGATGGATGACCTGTCTAATCGTTTTTAAATTTAAAAAAGCAGAGCAGTTTAAAGAGAAATCTTTGTTTGCAACTGCAAACTAAACTTGAACAAATGATGGTATGTATTGCGGAAGTTTTGTATCAGAGTACAGAGAGAAAGAAATACAATGTAGCTATTCTCTAATAGCAAAATAGAAATGCTGCTTTAATTACTTCAGGTCTGTCAGGAATCAGACTGTCATGTAGACAGCTAGTTTGGTGTAGTGATTAAAGTGATTAAGGTGCTAGACTAGAAATCTAGATTGTAAATTCTAGTCCTCTCTTTGGCACGAAAGCTAGTTGGGTGACCAGGCCAGTTACTCTCTCTCAGCCCAACCTACCTAACAGGATTGTTGTTGTGGGAAAAATAGGAGATGGGAGGATTATGCATACCACCTTGAATTGTACAAAATAAAGATGGATAGAAAAACAATAATAGTAATAATAATCACAAAGTATCAAGATCTGAAAATTGAAGTTGAAAGATTATGGCATAAACTGGCAGTGGTGGTTCCAGTGGTTATTGGCACATTGGGTGCCATATCAAAAAACCTTGGACAGCACTTAGAAAATCTACACATTGACATAATTCCCATGTGTCAATTATAAAAGGCCACGCTGCTTGGATCCACACATACAGTATACCACGCTGATATATTATGACATCCTAGGGTCATTTGAATGAAGGCCAACACCAGCTAAAAACTGGCAGCTGTGTGATTTCACCTTGTATAAATAATAATAATAATAATAATGATAATAATAATAATAATTTGCCTGCAAGCAAGAACTGGTAAGACCACAAAACAGACAAAGTAATAGAAAAGGAAGAAGCTAGAGTACTCTGGGACTTTAGAATTCAAACAGACAAGCACCTGCCACATAACACCCCAGGCTTAACAATTGTTTATAAGAAAGACAAAAAAGTCTGGATAGTGGACATTACAATAGCTGGAAACAGCAGAACAGAAAGAACTGGAGAAAATCACAAAATACAAAGACCTGCAAATAGAAATAGAACAACTGTGGCAAAACAAAGCAAAGATAGTTCCAATAGTAATAGGTGCCTTGGGTGCAATCCCAAAACATCTGGTGTACATCATGAAGAGCATCGGCATTG